TCGAAAAATTCTCTGGATCTCAGTGACTCAGTAGGTGGAGCAGAACTTTCTGGGCATAGACATGTAATTTTTAAATGGTCATTATCTTTCCAGCCTCTTAGCATTCACCTAGTTACTGACTCCAGTCCCACCGTCTCTAAGTCTACCTTCAGGTAGGTGTCTTCCTGCCTGGCTTCCATATAGAAAGTGACCCCAAGGTAGATCACAGAGGTTGAGATATACAGCCTCTTTGGGACTACAGATTTATTTATTCATTTTCATTAATTGCTCCCATTTGTTTAAGCTCTTACAGTGGGGGCTGTTAAGTACTTTAAGCACATTCTTGTTCTGCCCTCATGGTAACAGTGAAGGCAGGTAATTTTATCACCCCATTTTATAGGTGAGAAAATTGAGGGTTTGGAAGGCTAATTTTCCAAGGGTATACAGCTGGTAAGTGATGGAGCACCTTGGAATTCTGCTCGTTTGCCCATTGGAGGAGGTCTTGATGTTACTGACAAGCTTCCCTTTCTGGAATTAGAGCATGTCAGATCAAAGCATCAAAGAGTAGACATGTGACAAGGGGTGGCCATCCCCTCCAAACACACCTGTTCCCCAGCCTTGGCCTGACAAGCCCTTATTCCCACCCGCCTTGGTACACATAGCTCAGGGCTGGGAGTGGACACTGTTGCAGGCTCTGAGAATGTTTGTGGGCATTACACCTCCCCAAGGCCACCAGGGAGCATGAGCTAATTGTATTAACAAGTGGCATCTGGATTTTATTCCATTTTACACGAATCCTGTGTTGTTTATGAATGAACCTAACTTGGGAAATGGAGACGGGGCCTCCACTGTTGAACAAACAGACCTTCCCCTTGGATGTGCCAAGCTCTGGCAAGCCAGACAGCACTACGGGTTCTTGTTCCTTGCTACTCAGCTACCCGCAGTGGCAGTCTTGAAAGCTGTCACTTTAAATTTACAGCCAAGAGAAACTGGGGAAAGGTACTACATTATTGGTCCATAAATTGGATGTGTCTGTCTGCAATTAGAAAGAGGTTTTCCCAGGGTCCTAGAAACCCCATGTGTGGCTGCAGGTGGGGTAAGAGGGGTCCCTTCTCTTTCCAGCTTAGGATTGCCTGAGTTGGTTTGATTTTATCTTGCCTAGACTTTAAAATAGGAAACCAGAGGCACCTTTCTGAAAACACACTGGAGAAACCATGTTGTAGAAGAAATCGGGCAACTCAATAGACTTGATAATGTCTATTTATTTCACCAGGATAAGGACAGGGATTGCTCTAGAGAAACAAACAAAAAGAGCAAGGCCAAAAGACCTTGAAACCATTAAGAGGTGCGCATGCTCCATCAGGAGCGGGGGCAGGCTGCGCTGGTTTCAGGTTCCTCCTTGCTACATAGATAAATGGCCAAAGGAAACATTATCCCAGCAGTTTCACATCAAAGGCTAAATGGCAAGCTGGTCTTCCTTTTAAGCTGGCCAATAACCAAGTGAAAATTAGACAGTGTACATGTTGAGGAAGAGGGCTTCACGCCGTTCCAGAGTGGACTTTCCCATGCTCTCACTCCCAGCTGGTCCCACGGATGAGCAGTTGCTGTATAAGACATACTGGGTGGCACAGACAGTGTGGCCAGGGCTACAGGCCAGATTATTGCTCTATAGAGGGTCTGAACAATGTGTTGAATGTACAGGACTGAAGCTTGGAAGAAAGTCACAGCTGCATGCACCCCTCTGGCCCCTAGCTGGCTTGAGGTATTCAAGATGAGGTCTGGCCACCAGGCAAGGAAGCCTCCCTGGAAACCCACAGGAAACTATCCTAGAGTCTGGGTCTACATGAAGGCCTAAACACTATGTGAGAAGTGAATGTGGACGTCCTGCAGACTGACTGCAAAACGTCTAAGAGCATTGTGCTTTTGGTTTCTATAGTTGTTTGCAGTTGTGTGTGTACATACATGTCTCAGACCAACTGAAGAACTGTCATCTACTATGTCGCGTAAACCCCACACACCTCTGTGAAGCAGGTAGCACAGGCATGACCATCTTGATCCTACAAAGGAAGCAGTGGAAGTTAAGACATATGTCTTGTAAATGGTCGCTAAGAGACACTAAGTGAGGACCTCTAATTACACTTCTTTCTCTGATACAGCGTGCTTTTCGCTCTGGCACACTGCTAGTCAGCTGATGCCAAGGGCAAAGTTGTCACTCTGGATTACCCACTCAGCCGACCTAGGAAAGGTACCACGTTACTCTTCCATACCTTTGGTGTCTGTGCACGGAAAGGAGGTACAGTGAGATGGCCAGGGAAGCTGCTGATTATTGCTTATATAGATTATTGCTTATATATGGCCTTAGACTATGTGATTTACAAGGGTGATAGCCATGTATGTCCTGCTTTGTATTCCCAGCACCTGTGCCAGTGACTAGCAGAATAAACATTTGCGGAGGGAGGGAAGGTGGAAGAGGAAGTTCGTTTCTTGGGATCACAGGGTATGCAGTGTCAGCGTTCCCTCATTAGGCAGCAGGGCCGCAGAAGCAGCGTGATCAGACCGTGTCGTCTGTACTTTTCTAGCCCCATTCTGATTTCATTAGTTTCCCATACTCATTTTTTTTTTAATACTCACTTTTATTTCATGGGAATTTGTTTTTATTACTATTCTTACCTTTTAAGCATTCTTATGACCGATTTTAATATTTCTGAATTATTAGTCCACCAACAGAAAAACTAAAATAAATGACTATGTTAATACATACAACTGGCAATGAATGGGCATTTCTGTTTTGGCCACACCTTCCCTCCTCCCCCGCTCCCCCGCCAAGAATGTCACCAATTCAGAACTAGCAGAGTCCGCATCGAGATTTTTTCCTTAGCCATCTTGTATTCATCCTTTTCACACCTTCCTAAATCTCCTCACTCTTTAACACGTATTCTGAGACCAGTTACCTCCTGCCCCAGCTACTCAAAGCTCTCACTTCTTCTAATTCATGAGGCCTTGAACAACCCTGAGCTCCTCTCCTCCCTGTCGGGTTCTGAGTGGGCAAGAGTTATCAGGTGGAGAGTAAAAGAGAGCAGATACTCCACATGTCCTGGCAGGTGGTGGGGGAATCTCTGGGAAGGCTCAGGGCCTGCTACTGCGGGGGCTGTCCTTGAGCATGCGGGAGGCCACATGGCTCACGGCTGAAGAGTAGGGCACTGCCATCATCCCTCCAGCTAACACACACATCAGCTTCTACTTCATCGAGAGGGATCCAAAGCCCCTAACACACGGGCTCCGCACACCACCCTTGTCTTCTCTACCCTTTGCTGCCCATGCTCCCGGACTTCTCTCCCTTGTTTCTGGGGTGTTAACACCTGCAGAGCTTCCCTTCTATTCTCTGACTACAGCCTCCCGTTCTTTTGCTGGGCTTTTTCTCCCTGGCCCTGGTTTTGGTTTTATCATCACTCTCTCTGGATCTATAGCAATCACTTTTATGTTTATGAGAGTCTGGTCCACCTGAGCCAAGTCTGAATTTCCTATCTCCAGTTGCCTGCTTGAGATTTCTATCTCCATGTCCCTTCATCACCCCACAGTTTACATCTCCAAAGCCTGAAGTCAAGATCTCTCCCCAAAACTGCGTTTCATTTTTAATTTACCTTCCTTGGCAGTGGAATTACCATTTTCCTACTTGCCCTGGTCAATAAACGTAATCCTTTCATCCTTTCGTGTTCATTCCTCAAGTTCTGGTGACTTCTCTATTGCTTTGTTTCCTTCCTCTTCCATCCTGCATAGTATTATGCCATCCATAGTTTTATGGCAGACAAACTGTCATCAGTCTCCTTCATCTACTTTGCTCCAGACCAGTGTACTCCAACCACTGCTTCCATTACGTTCCAACTCAAAGCCCACGGGTGTCTGTTTTTTATTACGTTACAAGGGGACGCCCCTGGCTAACCTAAGACTTTCATCAGTTCCCAGCATGCAATGCCTGCTCTTGCCAGCCCATCTCCTCACTATCACATAAGGCAGCTGAGCTTGGCCTCATCTGTGTCTTTGTGGGGGATTCCTTTTATCAGAAATGCTTTCACATGTCTATCTGATCCAGATTCCTGCTATCTATACATGCAACAATGGTACCCTTTTCTAAAAGACTGTCAAATGATAACTTCATGTCCAGGCCTTTCTCATTTTCTTCCTGGTGGCTCAATGGACAGAACATGAGGTGGATTCTCGGGGATTCCCACATGTTATATTTCAGAGTTCCATTTGGTGCCGCAGGGGCTGCAAATCTCCCACGCTCTATCTGTTCTTCTGAAAGCTACGCTACCGGCAAAACAGAGCAGTGAACCGCAGTCCGCAGCAATGCATCTCTTCCCTCACACGAGACCTGCTCTGGGGCTAAGTCATTAGGTTTAGTTTTTGTCTCACTGGATCAGAACTTGGGTGGAGATTCTAAGGGGTGGAAGGAAAGGTGGGGAGAGGTGCAATTCTAAAGGGCAGGATCCACTTCTCAAAAGCTTAACTCTGACAACACATGGAGAGAAAACAAGCTTGGTCTTGGTAGTAGGATAGTCACCATTTACAGATTGCTTTTTACAGCTGCACACATATTTCATCAAGTTATCAGCCTTTGACTTCATTTCATTTTGGTAAATAATAAAGCTACTGTGAAATGCTGTCACCTGTGAGCTCGTGGTGTGTAGTCCACGTTTGTGAAAACAGACCCTACAGACTCCTCTGTGTTTTGATTTTCATGGGAGACTATTCTAAAGCAAACTTTGTCATTTCATGTATTTCAGACATGGTTATACTTACATACATGCCAGGCAAACTATACGTGCACACAGATTTTTAAATAGTACTGAACAATAAGGTTTTTGTTTACTTTAGCAAATTCTGTAAAAACACCCTTGCAGGCTTCTGCTCAGTAACCCAAGAGAGCAACATAACTGAAAAGCCCAGCAGCTGAGGGAAGGACCCAGATATACTCAGTATGACACAAAGACCTGGAAACGCAGCCAAACAGTCCCAAGGAGTACACAATATAAATGCTTTATTGCTAGCACAGAGGTTTCTTTTTTTAAGTAAATTAAAAGAAATAAATCTTCATTTTCACATTTTATATTGCAGTCCAAAGGTAACTAGTTGGTTAGTGGCTATGCCCACTTGGACACATGCTGGAGGAGGAGGGTGGCATTCACTTGGAGAACTCAGAAACGTGGCATTGGTCAGGGCTCAAAGCATCGGGCTGCTGAACGCACTGTCGTTTGTAAGTAACAGCAAGTAGAGACTTGAAAACATCATGGTTAGGTAAGAGTTAGAACATTGGTATGGTTAGGAAGCAGAAAATCGTTACATACGGAAGGCTATATATATGTTGCCCATATTCCACATACTCTAGATTATGTTTGGTACTTTGAAATAAATGATCTGCATCTAGGTTAGAAACTGGATTGGATTTGGCAGGTGGAAAGATGGAAGAAGGAAAGGAAGCTAATATGTCCCACATCAAACTGGTGGAGTCGCTGGAAAGCAGAAGAAGAGCATGTAGTTGGTAACAAAGGGAGGTGGGCCTGCTTTACTTCCCCCAGGCTGTAGGCCACTGCCTGCTCAGTGAGGGGCAAGAATGGCATAGTGGATGAGCCACTGGGTGTGACAGAGGAGCTCAGTGGAGCAAGGCAGTCCTGGAACAATGGAACTCAGCAAATGGAAAAGGAAACCCCTAAGCTTGGCCAGATTTTCCAAGGTCTCTGCCAGTAGATGTAGGGCACGTTGGTAAAGTGTGATAGATCAAAATCACACCCACAGCACTGGAGTAGCAGGTATTGGTGTAGGGAGCTGGGGTTCAAAAGAAGCTACAGATTCCGACTACAGAAATAACTCATTTAATAATTGCTTGCCCACTATTAGCAACTGAATTATGTCTGCAAGGAAGCCAGCATTATCAAATTCTTGAGCCTACTCGAATTGTTTTTGGTTGGTTCTATGATAAACTTTAGAAAAGATCTTATCTGGCTATAAAAAACAGCTCACCCCTTGCCTTATCCAGAATAGCCAAGAAGGAATCCAGTATACAGACACACACACACACACATACGCACAAACACACACACACACACACACACACACCCCACCCCCAAAACTGTGTAGCAAGCTCAGAAGCTGTGAACTACACGTGATGACTTCCAGTCTCTATTGTCCCAATCTTTTTTCATTCATGTTATTTATGGATGTAAGAAAACCAGATTGGGTCAGTAATATCCTAGGTTCTTATTACATCTGTAGTGGACCAGCTCCTGGCATTTTCATTCTGGTCTGACTCTTAACTAAAACCATTTCATGTTTTGCTTTGAAGAAATGGGTAACATGAAATGGTAATTTGGCTTTAAAATCTTGGAAAATTGTTCACGGCCCAAACATCTGCCCCAAACTTAGCTCAGCTGAGATCTCACTGGAAGAGAGGGAGGGGTGGGTGAGTGGGGAGGGCATGGAAGGAAGAAAATGAAGAAAGTAGAAAGGTCACCTTTCCTTAAGAGGAAAGTTCTTTGTGATAAAGGCATCAAACAATACACCTCCCTTATTTCATCCTGTGCTCCAGAAAGAGATACTGGCTGTGTCTGCTAGCTCCTCCTCTTACCTTTATCCCACTTTGCCCAATATTTGGTATCATTAAGGTGACCCCTTACAGAGTGCCAGGAAACTGTACCCAACTGGTTTGCTTTAGTTGTGCAGTGACCTGCCTGGCCTACATGTTATTTCAATCTTTAAATAAAGACCGTGGCTCAACTTTGTATTCCTGAGAGCTGGATCCTACAGAGAAAGCAGAGAGGGACAGACGTGCAGGCTGGGCTTCATCTTCCTTCTGGGCCTTCTTAGGAGTTCTTCTGGGGGATCTTTACTGTCACAGTCTTTACTTCTGAGTACTCTCGCAAGCCGAATTCCCCCCTGAAACACAGAAATGGGCCATATTAGATACCAGAAGCCCAGGGAGCTGTATGTGAGTGCAGCAGGAGTCCTGGGGAGCTGCAGTTTATCACCTGCAAACAGCAAGTCCTGGGGTGTTCATGTAAAAATTCTTCATATATGGGCAACCCAGCCTTCCTGAGGGTCAGAGAAACTGTCACTGTCATGAGTAGTCACTAGATTTTAAAGTTAAAAGGTGATTTGGTTTCATAATGCTGCACAGAAAAGCAGTAACTCTCACCTACTCGGAGAATTAATGTCGGCCTAGGCCAGAGGGCACACAGACAACCTGGGGCTGTGCTCAGAAGCCAAGTGCTGTGGCCAGCAGAGGGACCAGGCCCAGGTCTCTGAATGTCTTGGCCATGCTTTTCCCCACAAGGCAGCACTGGTTGAGTATGAGTTCTTTGGAACAGTGGTATGATTTCCTCTCCACAAAACCCTTTTTTCTGCTACTGGCCACCCTCTGGATGTCTTTGTTGTGATAGCTTACTTAAAGATCTAACCCACTTTAACTGAAAGGAAAGGTTCTAGATTCCTTTTTATTGTTCCTAAGATTTAATGAACAGGAATGAACACCTAATGGCCTACCATAAAAAGCACAAGTCATCTGCAATACCTTAAAAATCTACTCCTGAATAATTATGGTCCATAGCCCATACCAGGTCAGGGGATATAGTCAGGAAATAAGAATCACTGATTAAAAAAGAATTGGGAAGTGTTAGCAGTCTTCCCCACCTCTCCCAGATTCTCCTTCAGCTACTTCCCTTCTGGGATCCTGGTCAGGGATCAAAGATTGCCATTCATTCAATCAACAAACATTTATTGAGCTATTACCGCAGGCAGCATGGTGCTGGGGTTGGGGCAAGCAAAACGAAATAGCTGGTTTCAGCCTCTGAGGAGCTTGCAGGTGGCGGGGACTGACAGGGAGGGTGGGAGCGGGTCACATGTGTTCCGTCCCTGTGTGCTTACCACAGTGCTCCTTCTCTTCCACATCTCTCCTCTGTTCTCTTGATCTTTTCACATTGTTTAAGTGCCTTTTTTCCTTTGATCTATGTCATTATAAAATCAAGTATGTTCTCCTAAATCTGTTTGTTTAAAATAACAACTTGTTTTCTTCTCTTCTTTTGAAAGTCACTCTTTGGTGATGCTTTTCCCAACAGCCTCAGGAGGAACTCCTCTTTCCACCTCTCTGTTCACAGAGCCCCTTGTTCACACTTCAGCCACCACACTTAACACACTGGGAGGATGAGAAGCTTGACAATCTCTGTCTCCCCCACCAAATCAGTAGGATCAGTTGTATCCTACCGATTTTGCTTTTAGTCTTCCACCAAACATAGGGTGTAGCATAGCCTACAAGAGTAGACACAAAGGAGGAACCTGATGACCAACGAAGGAAGGAGAGGAGGGAGGGAGGGAAGGAGGGAGAAAGGAAGAGCTTCCTATTCACCCTTCTCTAGTTCCACCGTGTTGTCATATCTCTGTCATAGCTTCTAGATCAGGGAAAAACAAAAGAACACTTAGGAGATATACTTGAATAGGAAAGGATTAAATGATTAAGAAAGTCAGTCAGTTTTAAAAGGTATAGAGTCACTGTGACTGGGCTTTACCAGACAGACCTGCTGTTAATGATTTTGGGTTCCTTTCAGGAGCCACCATGGCCTATATAAGGCTCCAGTGGTTTTGCCAGCAGCTCCTCTGAGCACCATGGGTACCTGAGCTGACAGAGACGAGACAGCAACCAAGGGGAGACCAGGGCAAGCATGCTGTTCGCTTGTCGGTATAGTTCATTTCGCTTAGAGGAATGAGAGAAACCAGCTGAAATTGCCCCACTCTTTGCGTGTCTCTCTCATTAACTCCATCCAGGCTCGAAGTCTCTTTATTACCAGCTCAGCCCTGGCGCTCTCTGGTCATTTTCCTGTCCTTGGGCAATTCTGAATGTGTCTCTTCATCACGGACACCATGTGTGTCCCGTTTGAAGTGAGTTTACTCCCTTCTTGTTTCCCGGTTTGTGCACGCACTTATTAGGGCAGGCCCCGAGCCACACTTCACTCCCATGTGGCTCTCTAACTAGGTTGTGAGAAATGTAAGGAAGTCTACAGAGTCAGAAACCTTGCAATTATGGTTGCTTTCAAGTGAGACCCTGGATCCCAGTGTTTGGGTGTGTGATGCAATGGAAAACCCTGCTAAACCGGAGGTGCTCCTCTCTGGGTCCTGGGCAGTGATCTATGTACACTCTATGTTTGGAGACAGAGAAGTGGACTCAAATCTGCTATCAAAACAACTGCTATGGACCCAGAACATCAAGAAAAGCCAGTGAGAGGTCTCATAGCAGCATGCCTGAGGAGGCATGGAGGAGAAAAAGAGCACCGTGGCTGCGGTCAGAGACAGGAGTGTCCACTCAGTTCTGCCATTAACCAGCTGAAGGATGCCAGCTGAGTGTCAGCCATCCTCGTGGTGCCCAGTCATCTCTCCAGCAGTAGTTCCTGAACCTCAGCACACAGAAGTATCTTCTGAACACTACTCCCACCCCATAATTTGGTTTCAGAAGCTCTGGGGAGGGATCAGGAGACTGTAAAACAGATGGTCATTTGGGTCACACTCTGGGACACGCTGCTCAAAGGTCACTGAGCCCTGAAGTTTGGTTTCTTAAGCAATTTCACCATCTTGTTTCAGGGTTGCTGTCTCAAATTTGTTTACTCCAGTCAAATTTTGTGGCACATACAGATAACAGGGAAGAAGCCCACTGATGTACAAAAGGTATGCATGTCATTACTGATGCATCCCAATCTCTCTGCATGGTCACTTTCACAGCCGGATATGTCCAGGCACAGTCACATTTAGAAGCCTAGATTCCTGCTCCTCAGCAGACTAGGTTCCAGTCCCTAAGATAAATCCAACTTGGCATGCCTAGACATAAATAAGGTAACTTGTCAGTTTTGCTGGCTCTTGGCCAGCCTTGTAGGAATCACTCAGACTTACCCATAAAATAAGTAAGTGTTTCTGTTTAGGGTTTTATATATATATATATATATTTTTTTTTTTTCCTGCTCTTTTACTTGGCTTGCAGCAGCATTTCTCAGAGGAAGGTCCCCAGATCACCTGCATCAGCGGAGCTTGCAGATGGTGGGGACTGAGAGGGAGGGTGGGAGTGAGTTACTGGAAGGCAGGTTGCTTTCAAATGTGACTGCAGGATCCCAGGGTTTGGGTGTGTGATACAGTGGAAAGCCCTGCTGGACTAGGGGTGCTTCTCTCTGGGTCCTGGGCAGTGATCTATACTGTAGTCATTCTGGAAGCTTGTTAAAAACGCATGTCCTGGGTCTTAGCACTGATCCATTAACTCAGAATCTCTGAGAGTGTGTCCCTAGATATGCATGCTTAAGAAAACCATCACCCAGACTGCAGGTGACTTCTTTGTATGTATGCATGCACGTGCGCGCACACACACACAAACTTGACAAGCCCTGAATTAGAGTATCTAACAATGCTTCTCATTTTCAAAGCCAGCGTCCTGAGTTTTTAAAATGCCGAGGTTCACAGCATGGTTTCCATCCCCTCAGTTTGTGACGTTTTATGGCTTGCGCTGTGCCACCTCTCATCTCAGGGGAGTTTGATGAGGAAGTGAGGAAAAGGACAGAAAAAGTGAAACAGATGGAATTAGCTGAGCAGGAGGACCTGAGACAAGCTCAACTCAAGTCTCTGAGCCTGAAAATTAAGAGGGCAGTCCATCAGATAACCTGTGGAGGGCAGCCCTCCCTGCAGCTCTCTGTGGGTAGACCTCATGGGCTAAGTCAGCCCTCCTTAGAGTTTCCAGATGTTTCTGGAAGTGCCACTTAAAGTCTCTGCTCCTCTTAGGGGTGGACAGGGAGGTGTCAGGGACCAAAGCTGCATGGAGTTTGCAGGCCATGAGATAAACAATTCTGTCTACATGGAGGGTTACGTGGAGTTTCTGGGGCTGTATCAAATCAGTTGGAAGAGTTGGGAACCAACACAGGGCAGATTCTTTTATTTGAAACATTTCCTGTCACTCTGAGTGATGTAAGAAAGAGAAAACATGTTTTGGGAGTAAGTAGAGACAAAGAACCATGCAATCTAGACAAGATGTAGTGGGTCTCATCAAAGAACACCCCCTCCTAATTACTCTTTAACTGCACTGTGAATGTCAAATCACCATAGTGCCTGCAAAACAAGTAGAGAAAAATGGTTGTTCTATCTCTTGGGCACTGTTACGTGAAGTTCAGACAGAGCCAAATGGTCTCCCGGACCATCTTTCTGGGCAAGGAGAATATTTCTGATGGGAATAAACTAGAGTCAGCTAATATCACAATCCTGACCACAATGAGGGACCATGGGTTAGCCTGGGATTAGGCTCCATCAATGAGCAATTATTCACTGAAAGTATATTTTATGCTAATGATCCACCCTGTTAACAATCTAAAACAACACAGTCAATGCAAGCAGCATTCTGAGAGCCAGTGACAGCCCCCAGCATTTCAGAGTTGGGAGAGTACAGACATAGAGGAAGGAAATGAAATAAGCAGCAGAAAGTTAAGGTCCAGTGCAAATGAAGAGATACCTGGAGTAGTGAAGACTCTGTAAAATCTGAAGGAATACTAAGAACTGAACAAATAAAATGCAGATTGGTTATAGGTTCAGGCTGTTAAATAAGTGAGGAGCACTAGAGGCTGGAAGAAAAGGTTCAAGTGGTAACATCCTCTCCCTGCCATACCAGATACAGAACATAAGTTTGTAACACCAGCTGAAATTTAGGGAAACTTCTGCCAGAGTTACAGGTTTGTTAAGAAAAACAGGTATCACCTATGGAACACTTATCTATTTGATGAATAATGATGATTGCAGCTAACATTTTTTGAAGGCTTGCCAGACATTCTGTTGGATGTTTGCATACTTAATCCTTACAATTAATCCTCACAACAACCCTGAGGTAGGTACTATAATTATGCCCATCTTATAGATGAAGTAACTGAGGCTTAGCAAGATTAAGTAATTTGTCCAGGGTTGCACAGGTAGTAATAGTGGCAGGATTCAAATCCAAGGAGTGCGATTCTAGAAGCTGTTCTATTCTCCAGCCTATAACCACTTTATAGCTTCATGCTTGGCAGCTTGAAATTACCAGTGAAACTATCTGAAATATGTAAATCCTCTGCTCTAGTCTTGTGGTTTCACCGCATTTCTCCCACAAACACTACAGCTATTTTTCCCACAATACTCGCTCTCCCTCACTGCTACCTGGGTTTGCCCACCAATCTTGAAAATATATCCCCCTTCTCTATGCAAGTGTTCCTCTTCTTGAAAGTCTGATTCAAATCCCTGTAGCAGATCATATCTAAAGATTGCCCTGATTTCTCCAGCGCACAATGATCTTCCCTATCCCTGAGCTCCTCCATCTCTTGACAGTCTTTTCTGTGATTCCTCTGATTCTTTCTATGTTACTCATTTTATTTACCTACAAACACATTAAATATCTTAAGGGCCTGTATCTTGCTCCACAGACCAAGTGTAGTGCTTTGTACATAGTTTATGCTCAATACTTCTTAGATTGTGAACTAATAAGCATTTGCTCAAGAAAACATGCATTCACTAACGGCTGAGAGAATGAGCATGAAACATATTTCCTCTGTGAGTCACAGGATTTGGAAAATATGGATCAGCTTCTTTCAAAGGGAGAAAAAGTGTTTTTTCCCCCCCCTGGGCATTACTTCCAGGAAAAAATGTTACTTCTTGTCTGAAGTCTTTTCTGACCCCACTAGTCAAAATTAACTAATGTTTCTCTGTACTAACAAAATGTTAATATACTTCTATCACAGCCTTTATTACAGGGAATTAATGGTACATTAATTTTTCCATTCTCACTTTGGGAAAGGAAATTATGTCTTACTCATCTCTATAATATGTAGCAGTACTTAGCTTCTAGTAACATGTGTTCAACAAAATGTTGAATGAATGGATGAGTGTAAGATAATTAAAATATTTTTTAAATACTGCTCTGTGCTGATATTTGCAATCTACTTCTCTGCAAAGATCAGCAACTTTGAGACTTACATTTCTCTCCCATTTCCAGACATCTTGAATCCCCCAAAGGGGCTCTGGGCATTTAGGGCATTGTAACAATTGATCCTGAAAGAAGAAGACATAGTAATGTGAGTTCATGTAAATTCTGCCCACACAGAAATAATCTGACTGGCATGGTATTTAGAAGTTTTGTTTTTAAATTCCTTTGTTCCAGAGCAAAAATTTGGAATTTAAAATCTACTTTTGATTTCTGGATCTAAGCAATAAGGAGTGTATACCTTTTCTGGTGAAGTTTGGTTGCTTTTGGTATTCCCCATCCTTGCAAGAACATACCTGTTTATTTCACCCTGGTCCCTATGCCACCAGTGAATGTGTTACAAGACTGACTCTGATCTTACCAAACAGTCCCAGCTTGCATTGCAGAAGACACTGTGAGGGCCTTGTTGATGTCGTTAGTAAAGACGGCTGCTACCAGTCCAAAGTCTGAGTTATTGGCTCTTTCAATAACTTCATCCATTGTCTTAAATCTCAAAATTTCCTGAACAGGGCCAAAGATCTGCAAAAAGATAGTATGACTCAACATGGCTGCTCTGTCATTCCATTACCTGTTTTCCACATTTCAAAGCAAATGTACTCTGCCTTGTTTAAATGACATTTAAGTTTAGCAGTACACAACCGTAAAATCTCCCAACCTTTCCTAGGATAAGATTATGCACAGAGTCTAACATTAGTGTCTGTTTAACATCCCCAATGTCCCCAACCTCTCCGGCATCATTTGATTCCACTATGTATATACTAGGGGTGTCTTCTTTAGGTACAGAAGAGAAAGTGGCATCCTTCATGATCCTGCAGACACTGCTCCAGAACTGAATGCTCTGGACTGCTGACTGACTTGGTCGTGATCCCTCTCTTGCACAGATGTGAAGGTGCTTCAGTGTTTTCTGTGTCCTGGTCAACATCCTAATGACCTACATTTAGGATAGCTGAACTATTGCCAATTTATTGTTGAGGCCAGTGGTAGGCTATTCTGATTGTTCTGTTGGCTAATAATAATCACAAGCACATAGCGTGTCACCTGGCCTCCATCCAGCTTGCTTGTCTTTTGGTTTAATTTTCTTCTTGAAACTGGAATTTTCATAGCCATGGCTATTATTATTGTAAAATGAATATATATATATATGTATATATATATACATATATATATATATAAAATATAAAGAGCTAAAACTCTAATATCATCTACTAGAAATCCTCTAGAAACTATCTCAAGAAAGATGTGGCTTTCATAAGACCACCATATTTGATACCTCCTCCTTGGCAATCCGCATATCATCAGTGACGTTGGAAAACACTGTGGGCTCAATGAAAAACCCCTTTCGGCCCAGTCCTTTGCCTCCACATTCCAGCTTGGCGCCCTCAGCCACACCACTCTGGATGAGTTCCAAGATCTTGTTGTACTGTTTCTTATCGATCTATGGGAGACATGACTTAGTAACTCCAAATACAACCTTCTATGAAAATGGAAATAAGTAGGTTCTTGAGAATCTCTCATTTTATGATTTTTTCAAAGTTTCACTACACCCAGTCAAATTATATAAAACTGCTGCTACTTACCAATTTTTGACCTAGAAAAAAATTGGCAGTTTTGTATGGTTAATCCTAATATATTGAGGATTGCAGTAAATGTACTGCTCTGATGATATTGCCTAATCAGAAGTACTGGCTAAACATTTAGAAAATGTTTCAAAATGGAGACACTGGCTAATTTATTATTTATTGTTCATAAGAGGAAAAATTGACTTTTATCATGAAATGAGTAACTTAGCAAGCTGTACTGACAGTAAGAGACAAAAAATTAGTACATATCCTCTTTAGATAGTGGTACACATCCTAACTTCTTCCGGTTTATTTTTAAAGGAATTCCTTTTCACTTTTAGAGGAACTCTGGAGGAAAATATTAACAGTAAAGAGTGAAGGACTAGCTTCCTAGTCCAAATAATAATAATAATGTCAGTCGTCCCCCCAAAAACTGACAGAGCTATTCACTTATTGTGGTAAATAATACAAAAACCTACATTCACCCAAGTTTGAATGGCTCACCCAGAACATCAGTCTTCTCTTGAATAGTCCCTAAACTGAGGATATGTTGTCCCTTACCAGGAAAACCTACGCTTTAGAGACCCAGATAAGAGCTGGTACAGAATCCTTCTAAACATTCTCAGACCCCGTCTACAGATTAAAACCAGAACTGGCTTTAGAAATATGCCTTGATGATTATGGTGAATCTGCAGAGGTGAAAAGTGTAGTCTGGCAGCTTGGGAGAGACTTTGTGGCCCTCCCCACCCCACTATAGTACACAAGGCATTAAGAGTAAGAAATAACGATACAAAAAAAGGGAAGTGAGCTAGCCCTTCCTTTCCTGCGCATTCATAAGCTCAAGTCATCTGTACAGAGTGGTTCATGCTGCTGGAGAGACTCCTTGGCAGCTTGTAAAAGGATGCATGGCTCTAGGAAAGAAAGCTATTTACCCTTCTTGACTGTGGCATCTGTAGGGATGCCTTAAAGTTCAGTGACTAGAAGGACTGAGACTGGTTTCTAGTGTCAAGACCCAGCTTCTCATATTCAGGGCTTTGTTTAGAACGGAGAGACTCCAACTTAGTCCCAAAGGTCAGAATATCCTTAAAGTAACAGTAATCCCATAAATACAGAGATAAAATTCAGAAAGGGAAAAGAGAAGCATAAGAGATGAGCAATCCCTCTCTGGCTACATTTCCAGCCAGGAAGACAGGGTGGAGAATAAAGGAGGCAGCAGAAAAGGAAGACGCTGCTTTGTTGGGTCCCACTAGAGTGTCCAGTTGTGTGCCAGTCAAGGACTAAGTAAACAAAGGGAATGGTTACGATTTTTCTACCTGGGGACCCTGCTCAGTGGTGGGGTCAAAGGGACTCCCCACTATGCGCCTCTTGGCCCGCTCCACGCTTCTCCTCACAAACTCCTCATAGATGGACTCTTCCACGAAGATTCGAGACCCTGCAGTGCAGCACTGGCCTTGATTGAAGAACACACCCTGGTGAGCCTGCTCCACAGCATAGTCCACTACAAGAGGAAACAGCCATGTTCTCACTGCTTTGCCTGGGGAGGGGCGTGTCTATGAAGTCACCTCTCTCTCCGCTCCAAAGCCCCAGGTCTAATGTGTTCACTGCAGGACATAACCATGAATAGCACTGGATTGGGAATGAAACTTAGTTCTGGTTCTAAGTATACTCTGACATGCTATGTGAATTTGAACAACTTCACTTCTTTGGGTCTCTTTCTTATTCTGCAAATAGAAGGACTGAACCTCATCTGTAACAGGAGTCTCAAACCCCAATATACCACAGGGCTAGGCATATAAGGTAAAGGTATGAATCTGCCACGTGGTAAAGCAATGTAATGGAGAGTCTAAGAAAGCCACCACATTTTATCGTTGTCATGCATAATTATGAGGCCCAGGTTGCCAGATCTTTGCAGTTTTCAGAGAGATCAGTATGTTAATGTGCAGCTTTTGTTTTTTAAACACAATGTGATGTTTATACAGGTAAACATGTCTATATTCTGTATTTGGCCAATTTACGACTCCTGAGCTATAGGGCCTTATAGCTGTATGTTTAGTATTTGGGAGATTAAACTGTACCACCAATGGGTCTTTGAAGACAGTAAATTTCCTCTAGATTGACATAGGATTGTGTAAAATCATATGTTTTCTCTTCCATTTTCATCTCTTATATCTTACACTTCAAAATAGCTTAATCCGATGTGCATTAGTTGCTAAATGACTGACTGACTGACTGAAAAACCAATCAGTATTATGCCGATGGAGTACTTACTCCTCAAGAGGAACAGGCATAAGAATTCTGATTCTCTTGACAACCAATACAAAGCTAAAGCTGAACTCTGTACAAATTCCAAGCTAGGGCTGAAATTCAAGTGATCTGCTTTCTGTATTCTGATCTCTCTGGTGGTAAAATTGGGAAGCAGCTCTGCCCGGCAAAATGTGAAGCAAAAAAAAGAATCACTGAATGAAATTTTGGGATTTCCTTACCTGGAGAGCTTTTCAAAACAGAAAGGTCACACCTGTGCAGAATGGCCTAGGTGGCATCCTTCCTAGAGACATGGGGTTTCTCAGGTTACTACTCAAAGCCTCTGCAAGGTCCTACTGGCAAGGTGGAATCATCTCAGCTTTAGGACTACTCATACTGAACTGATCTACCTGTGCTGTCGTCATAACTGAAAGTCATGGCAGCAGCACCGCTTCACCAGGTAAAGCTCTCCTTGCCTAGAGGGCTTTTCAAGAACAGAAAGGTCACATCTGTGCAGAATGGCTGAGGTGGCATCCTTCCTAGAGAGATGGGGTTTCTCAGGTTACTGCTCAAAGCCTCTGTAAGGTCCTACTGGCAAGGTGGAATCATCTCAGTTTTAGGACTACTCATACTGAAGTGACCTATGTGTGCCGTTATCGTAAATTGAAGTCGTGGGAGCAGCAGAAAGGGGTTGGAATTGACTACACAGAGCAGGGGCTGTGAGTTTGGAAAATGCTGGCAGGGTTGGTGAATTACTATTTAAAATGATCTACCAGCCACGAGGCACAGTTGAAAAGTTACAGATTTCTTGAATCTAGGCAGAGACACCATCTTTCAGGTGCTCGGCAGCTGAGACCATTGCTCTTTTAACTATACATCACTGACCAAGCCTTCATGTCATCCACCCTGTTCTACAGTATCACAGAATCAAAATGACTCATTAGTGTCTAGAAAACAAATTGTTTAGTCATCAGTTGACAAGTGCTCTTTCCCCATTATTAAACTATTTTCTCCTTAGAGGAAATCTTCTTTTATACATATATATATATTATTTATAACAGCGCTGGGCATAGAGGAAGGAGATCTTCTTGATTGCTCTTGGCTTCAAAGATCTTTTGCTAGTGTCCTATCAAAAGTGGAGACACCAAAGAGGGCACCAGAGGGTGCGTGCTGGTTCATGCATGGGACCTGTAGTTGACTTACAGTCAGCATCAGCAAAGATAATATTAGGACTTTTCCCTCCAAGTTCCAGAGTTACTCTCTTCAAATTACTTCTTCCAGCTGCTTCTTGGATAAGCTTTCCAACCTGAAAGAAAGGAAATGGAGATAGGTTTTACACACCCTGTAGCTGAGATGGTCATTGGCCAATGGCAGCATGGGGCAACAACGGGATGCAATAATAACAAACCCTAAAAGGCAAAACGACCCCGGACAGCTCTTGGCATTAACTTGGGTAGACAAGATGTAAGTTAGCAGGGTGCCATTTAATGTCCATGCTGGAGTCAATTGGAAGACAGCTTTAGTTTCATGATGGAAGGAGTAAGGAAAAGGGAGTTTTATCTGGAATCCCGATCACCGAGAGATTTCAGTAAAGGCACCTGGCAAGCAAAATGTAACTAGAAATTTCCATCAGTGCATTGTGGCCTTTTGCTGTGGACTCTGGCCACCTGGTGCCACTTGAAAGATATCATGAGTGTAAAACAAATTGTTCATGTATCTCCCAAAATGCCAGGCTTGATTTTTATTACATGCTTCAAAGAGACTATCAGTATTATACCCTTGCCTCTGCCTAGGGCTACAGTAAAAGGATACAAGACAGTTGAGAATCTGTCTCTTTTTGTGCAGTCTTATAAATGCCTTTTATCTTGAATCCAAGTAAACAAGAGGCTGAGTTAGGAGAAAGCAATTGCCAATGAGTAGACTCACCTTGGCAATGAAAGTGTTGGAATGGAAACAAAGATCCACCACCTAGAGCCCCTGCTCAAGGCAGAACTCTACCTTAGTGATGGCGAGTGCTGTTGGGAGAGAGCCTGAAGCTGTCGGTTTCTTCAGGGTCCACCTCAGCTGAAAAGAGCTCCCTTGCCCAAAGGGATACCCACTTCCAAGCGGCCCATATCCACCCACTGGTGGTGGCAGGAGTATAAAGGCCCTGCCCTTTCAGCCCAGCACAGGACTGGGCTCTGAGGAACCATATACACTCCACGATGACCCAGCGGGCTGACAGAGGCCGTGTCAGTTCCACTTCCCCATGGCCACTCCCCTTCAGCAGGGATCCCTGGTAAAACTCTGCAAGCTCAACTCCAACTCCGTGAATGCTCCTTGGCAACCTAAACTGCAAAAGGGTGGGACTCTGCAGGAAAGCACAGGTCTCTTTATGGAAAATTCAGAGCAGAGTCACCATACAGGCAATTTGGTCTTGTTGAGATGAAAACACGCTACTTGTTTCTGAAATTTTCCTGCAAATTAAATATTTTAAAAGCCTCTGGAAGACAAACGCTAAATTTACTTTCCATTCCTGCAGTCCCTTGTTGAGATCCTCCAGTAGGACCAAGGACTTCTCAGACAGTGGAGGACCCTGGGTAGGAGAAAAGACTCCAGAGCCAGGCTGCCTGCAGTTTTGCTTTGTTTTGTTTTTAACCAGTTCTATCACTTACCAACTGTTTGAGCTTAGGAAATGTATTTATTGTCTCTGAGCCTTGGTTCCTCCTCTGTAAATAGGAACAAAAATACTATGTAGTTCAGAATTCCATTGTCCTGAGGAGTAAGTGGTCTACCTACCATATGTGGCACTTAGAAAGCAGCCTTTCACACAGTGAAGTTTGCAGACGTGCTAACGATAATCAAATGTGAGAAGCCAGGGCCTCCCTTTTCTTCCACGTTCAATGGACAGAAATGGGGGTGATGGTAAGGAGATTTCTGGACCTTCCTAAGCAGGTCTTCCCTTGATCTCCCAAACTGCCTATGCTGTTAACGCCTTCAGAAAAACACTGGAGAAACTCCAACTTCCCCCTGGTCTCCGGTATTACTAATTAGCTGTAACTCTGCCTCCTTGTAAAACATTTTTGAAGATGTATCCCCATCCTGAGAAAAGCTAACCTTGGAGGGAAAAAGTGATGTCTATGAAAGATGCAGAACTAGAGTTTCTCGATTTGCTGAAAATATTACTTACCAAGGTGTTATAAAATGCTAACACCTGGCCCCGAAAATTGATGGGTGACCTGTGGCTAACCTGCCAGACCCTGCCCCTCCCTGACCCTTGACAGCTTGTGTCTCTTCCATTTCCAGGCAAGGGCCTCAGGAAGACCTGGGCTCGGTAGAGGCCCTGTTCTCACGCAAATATGCTCCTCTAAGAAGAATACAGGCAGACACAAAAGGAAGAAGAATCTGGCTCTCTGTTCTGGGAACGGTGAAAATCCTGATTGGAGCCTGAGATGCCTGGTAAGAGGGGGAACTCCCACTGAAGGGCAATTTGGGAAACAGCAATCCCCTGACTCAGTGCCAGCACCCAGGGAGGGGTGTTCCCTGAGGATGCCATCATCTGTGACTGCTTGCTTTCTGAGGAATGTCATTGTGCTTGCTTGCTCTACTCTGGGGGAATCAAAATTAACAGATGTGGACTCATTTTAAAGTCCAGGAAGATAAACAGGTAAGTGCTTTCTCAACAAGACAATTAGGGAAAATCACAAACATATTATTCATTAAATTAAACTATTTATTGAGTAGTCTATGTTAGATATTTACATGCATTGTCATTTAAGCCTCTCAACCCTACAAAGTAGGTTTTATCTCATTTTAGAGATGTGTAAACTTAAAAGTTAGTAGGTAACGAACGTTACTAGGCTCCCCAGCAGGTTCACGACACAAACTGTTGGACTATCTGCAGGCTGATGCCAGGGCCCAGGCCTGGGATTACTCCCTCTCCTTCCCTTCCTTCCTCCCAGCATTCTGTCTGTCTTCTGCTCTGTTGTCTACATTTACTGAGCACTAATGTGTGCCACATACCACCAAAATCTTAACCCTGCACTCCAAGCTAATTTCAAAGTAGGTAGGAATAGCACCCTCTTGTATACATAATGTTCATAAATCATCATTTATAAAACTCATTTCTGCCCTGAGATTTACATTAAAGAAATAAATAAAAGCAACAACAAAAATATCTTGGATTTTACACACAGTAAGATGCTGAATAAATATCTGGGGTTGGCAAACACTGCTGGCCCAGCTGGCATTACATTGCTGTTAGCCCTACTCCCAAATATTCATCAGACCATTCTAGAGGTTTTAATTTTTTGCCACTAGAAATGTCGGCCAGTGATTATTTTCATGGCGACAGTTAACTACGCATAAGTAAAAATTTCACTCAGTCTATGATCATCAGAGAAGAATCCCTAAGAATAATTTTTCCTGCATCAATGCTTTGCCAGCCTTTCCTCAGAAACCAGATTTGTGCTAAACGCCACAAGGCAAGTCTCAGGTGAATAATGCCTTTCCACTTCATCTGTGGAAGAAGGTCGAATTGCACTTCAAGAAAGAACTGGATGTGTTAGGCTATGGGAGAACCACTTCCATCTAAAGTGGCCTCAGGACTGAACACTCCTAGAAAACTCTGGCTTTTGCCAATGTTCCTCATTCAACACATATTCATAGTTCTCCTACTGTGTGCCAGGTGCAGTACTGGACATAGTCCCTTGCCAACAAGGAATTCACAGCTAAAAGGACTCCCACGTAAACCTACTAGGTGTTAAATAAATGTGCCTTTGCAGTCCACTAAGAAAAAAATCTGGGTCTCATTTAATATTAGATCTGAACAGATTACAGTTCTTCACTACTTTCTTATAACCCATACATTTCCAAAGTCGAAGTCTGTGGGATTAGAAAGTATAAAAAAGAATGAATTACACATAAAGGCCTAGGATTGACCAATCCTTATAAAATGGAAAAGTTGAGATAAGTGTGGTTCTGCAGGGGTACGTGCCCCTTGTGACGTGTCCAGAAGGTGGGAGTGCATGGCAAGATAAGGGAGGCTGCAAGGGTGCACAGGTCTTCCAAGTGGTTAAAAGTCAGGTTGACAGAGACGTACTTGACGACACCAAGTCCTATTCTGATAAAATTGGCAATTTGTAAGATAAAACAGGTAAACATACAGTTTGAGAAATTCCTGTAAATAATGTAAATATAAATTAAATAGGATAAAGAAACAGACATCAAATTTGTAGTTCACCATCATCTTTTCTTCCAAGCAAAAAAGATTTTACAACATAGTTGTGTGATACCTCTAGCCCGGTTGCTGACAACCTGGCTAATTATAGCCATACAGTTTGGCCCACAGAAGTCAGAAGACCTGGTACCACGAACTCTGGCTTGACTTCTAATGAATCTTCAATTTGGAAAAGCCACTTTACCTTCCCCTGAATCTCAGTTTCTTCATCTGTGGAATGAAGGCACAAGCAAAGCCACAGATCTCTCCCTTAGTACTCCAGTTAATTGGAGGAGTTAAAAAAGACAGATGGGACTCCTGGAGACCCTGCTCATTCTGAGAGTCTGTCCACAATTCTTCTGTTTTTCTTGCCTTATGAAGCAGAAGTAGCTTGTTACAAGAACACCACAGCTGCACGGAATGATAGAAAAACCTGATCTTTTTTTAGCTTCCCTGCACTGAGCTCATTATGAAAGAGTAAGAGAGAGCGTTCCTATCATGCAGTTTCTTAACTTTGCACTCCCTGCAGAGCCTCTCAGCTCTGTGTACCCTAAACATGCAAGGGCACTGAACTGGGGGCTCCTTCACACATAATGAAACTGGGCTAATTCTCAGCAGGAATGTTGGCACAGTTCAACTCTGACTCCCATCCTCGTTTGAATAGGCTTCAAGATTGATATCAGGAGTATCCCTGGAAGAGCCACAGTGTACTAGAATCATGTTCACAGAAATGCAGCAATGTAGAGGAAAGCAATTTGGGGCTTTGCAAGAAAAATAATTTGTTATACAGGACAAAAAGGAATACAAAAGGCTTTTCATGCCTTCTTTATTCAAGGCAGTTGCTCCCTGAACACAGTTTCTAAAGTTGGGTAAAATTTTTCTTTTTATTAATTACTCATATTAGAGTAAGTTCCTACTCAGAGCTATTTTATTACACTTATGAAGGTAATTTTCATCTCAGAGATATTAATACCTTTTTAAAAATAGAAAAATAAATCTTTAGTAGAGATCCCAGTAAACTAGTCGAAGATGCCGCTTTCTGTATTATCTCTTCATAAATCCCAAATAGATTTACTCTCTGCTTTTTCCCTCTTCTCCTTTCTTAATGT